TTGTGCATTATTTTGCTTTACTGTTATTGGTCGTGTAGTTATAATAACGAAAGTTTTTTTTTTGGAACAGGAGCTTTCTTCTGTCCTTGATCGTAATGCTCTCGCCTCATTGGTCGAAACTGTGAGGTTATCAACAGGTAGCTCTGACTGTCTTGGCCTCCAACTTATCCAAGATAAAACTTATGAAATAGAAAAAAAAAGGACCCGTTTCTCAAGCTGGGTGTGCACAGAAAGAACAAGCTCCTCGCCACGGTTTAAAGTCATAAAACCAGGTCACGTGCTTAATCCTGAAGTAGGAAACTGGAAAGTATTCAAGAAACATGAATACATGTACTGTGATAATTTTGGTTTGATTATCACTAATTATTAACACTAAATCCTTTAGGCAAGATGGACCTTGAGTTTCTATTGGTTCCAGAAACCTTAAAGGTTAAGGTTTCGTGGACACCAAACTTACTAACTATTGACGTATAGCTTTATTACATAACTAAATTCCCTTCCACTGCTTTATAATATAATATAACGTTTAGAGACAACGTGTGACCTACTGGTCCATCTCGGCTGTCCCATCCTCTAAACTAAACTAAAACTATTATAAAAGAATCTTAAAGCCAGCCCTTATCATTCATATAGTTATCAAGCTTTCTCTTAAACTTACTTAAATTTACTGGCTCTATAACATCTGAAGGCAACTCATTCCAAAAGCCAACCACCCTGTTAGAAAAATGAAACTGTCTTAGCTGAAGATGACTCCTACCTTGCCAAAATTTATATCTCTGTCCCTTTGTCCTACTATTCTCACTGTTAAATATAAAAAAGATGATGCATCAACGCTATCAATTCCCTTTACAATTTTAAACACCTCAATCAGACCCCCCTAGCTCTCCTTTTATCAAGATAAAACAATTTGAGAGATTTCAACCTCTCCTCGTATGACAACCTCTCCATCCCTGTCACCATTCTAGTAACCCTTCTCTGAACCCTTTCCAACAATGCAATGTCCCTCCTGCCCCCAGAGGCACAACGGTACGTCTGTGGAGTGGAGTTACAACGCTAGAAACTGGGTTTCGATACCCGTGGTGGGCAGAGCACAGATAGCCCTTTGTATTGCTTTGTGCTTTATAACAAGCAAACAACAACAACCCACGAGAAGATTGTAAGTTTGTTTGTTTCAGCGCAAAGCTGCAGAATAGGGTAGACTTGGTTAGGGCACTCGACTCGCAATCTGCGGATCACGGGTTCGAATTCCGTCACCAAACATGCATGCTCGTCCTTTGGGCCGTGAGGATGTATAATGAGAAGGTTATTTGTTAATAAAGAATAGCCTAAGAGTTGGGGGTCTAATCATCCAATCCTCTAGTACTCTGCAAAAAACGGCAGCAAGTGGCTCACATATCCAATCCATAACCCCTTCAAAAACCTTGGGGAAATATTATTTTAAACTTCCCTATTTTTCTTAACCAGCTCAGAATTAATGCAGTCATCTTGATCAATCTCGTTTCCATCTATCAACTGTTCAAGATGTGGAATACTGCTTAAATCTTCGTTAGTAAAAAATCGAAGAAAAAGCAGAATTTAATAACCCAGCCATCTCATAATCATCAGATACTAGCCTTCCTTTATCATCCCTCAAAGGTTCTACCTTTATCCTAACATTTTGTTTACCCTTAATGTATTTAAAGAAATTCTTACTATTAATTTTTACATTTTCAGCCAATCTTTTCTCATACATTTTATTTTGGTGTCCTAATTTCGTGTTTCACCAACGTTTTTGATGTTCTATAATCTTCTAAATCTCCCGTCATACCAGTAAATTTAAATTTCTCAAGTTTATGACACTTTTATTTAATTTTATCTTTTATATTCTTTGTGAGCCATCCTGGCTTTTGTTTCTATAAGGAATATGTTTACCTTAGATACTTAAAAAATTATCTTTAAATATTTTTCACATCTGATCAGTGTCTCCACATAACTAAACTAGGTAGGAAGAGATGAATATTTTAAGTAAATTAGGTAAGAACTGATGAATATTTTAAGTAAACTAGGTAGGAACTGATGAATATTTTAAGTAAACTAGGTAAGAACTGATGAATATTTTAAGTAAACTAGGTAAGAACTGATGACTATTTTAAGTAAACTAGGTAAGAACTGATGAATATTTTAAGTAAACTAGGTAGGAAGAGATGAATATTTTAAGTGAACTAGGTAAGAACTGATGAATATTTTCAGTAAACTAGGTAAGAACTGATAAATATTTTAAGTAAACTAGGTAAGAACTGATGAATATTTTAAGTAAACTTGATAACAACTCCTGAAATTTTTAGTGAACTTGGTAGGAACTGCTGACATTTTTAGTGAACTTGGTAGGAACTGCTGAAATTTTTAGTGAACTTGGTAGGAACTGCTGACATTTTTAGTGAACTTGGTAAGAACTGCTGACATTTTTAGTGAACTTGGTAGGAACTGCTGACATTTTTAGTGAACTTGGTAGGAATTGATTAAGATTGTAATATGTGATTGTGATTAATTTTCATTAACGTAAATCCATGATTATAATCATGCTTAAAATTAAAACCAATGAATCAGTTTCTGCAACCGAAACGACTTGCATGTCAATTCTTTCAAGTATCCGAATAGAAACACAAAGTTACACGATCGGATGTTCGTGCTGTGCGGGTATCGAAGCTCGATTTTTAGGTTTATAAGCCCTCACAAATACCTCTGAGCCAATGGTGGGCCAACTGAAAGGAAGTCAGAAAGCCGATTTTTAATCCAGTGAATATTTAATAAGTTTTAAATAAGAAAGATTTTGTTAACGTTTAGTAACTAAATGATGCGAAATAAACACATATTTTTAATTAATTGTTTTTTTTAGTTAAAGTGTTTTGTTTTCAAGAAATCGAACAATGGAAATACTTTAACAATTCCAAAGTCAAGTTTTTCACTTGTTTTACTGACAACAGCTTGTTTATTTGTACAGAAATATTCAGTACCTGTTTGAACTTTGATAAAAAAGATGTTGGTTAGTTAGTT